CTACGGCCAGATCTCGCTCGAAGTCGGGCCCCGCCCGGGGTCACACCTCGGGCGGGTGGTCATGGGGGATGACCCACATGGGGGGTGAAGAAGAGGGCCCTCAAGGGGCCCTTTAGGACCCTTCCCCCAGTTGGGCCACCCCCCATTACCACCCGCCCGAACACCCTGGCTACCTGCTCACCTTCGGTCGGGCGTGTCCCCCTACAAGCGAATTTCGAGCGAAAAACCTAGAATTCCCCCAGCAATACCCCCAAATAGCAAAATAATACTAAAACAAATAGTCCCCATACTGTTTTTAAGATATTTTCGAATATTCCCCCTGTAGAGGGACAGGCCCGACTTAACATGCCAACCCGCCCGAACACCCTGGCCACCTTCGGGAGCGGCCAAGAGGGGGGTGTCCAAGAGGGGGGGGGGGGGGCACATCATGGCCGGCGGCATGTGCGCGGCCCAGCGGGGGGGCCAGGGACGTAATGAAATAAGCAGAGGCGCCACGAAATATGGGGAAATACAGGCCTCGGAACAAATTAGCGAACACATGCCACATTCATCCGTCAACGCCTCCCCCTCCCCCCAATGTTCAAAGTTGGCGGTGGGTCTGACGAGATGCACTTCGACCGCAGTCTCCCCCGCGCGTGCCAACGTTGAGTTTGGGGGGGAGGGGGAGTGTTCATTATTTGTTTCCCTCTACCGTATTATGGCCCCCGCCACGATACCCCCCCCCCTGGTCATCACCCCTCTCTTTGCCGCCCCCGACACCTGCTCACCCCCGGCGCTCGGCGCCTGGCGGCCCCGGGGCCCGCAGCCCCGCGTGGCGAAAGCGCTCCTCGGAACCTCCCTCGATCGACCCTCCGTGGCGCGGCGGCGACGGCGACGGCGACGGCGCGACGCCGCCCCCTCGCGCGCACCCCGTCTCCGTTGGCTCGGAAGCCGGGCAAAGGGCTGCTAAATCCGTGGCTGCTAAAATCGACCTCCGGGAAGTTGTCTTCGCCCTTCCGGGAAGAAGCCCGTTGACTGTTTCGCGTGCCGCGCCTCATTCCGGGAAGCTGTTTCTTTCCTTCCGGGAGGGCCGTTTTAGCAGACACGGTTTTGGCAGCCCTCGCCCAGCTTTCGATTGGCTGAGAGCTCCGAATCCTCAGGGCTTGGAGGTGGTCAGAGGTGTATGGCTGCAGATTCTCGCGCTCCTGGGGCCCAGACCGGAGCCACGCCGGGCCGCAGTTCTCCTGGGCAACTTGAGCGTCCAGCCCTCCCGAACCATGAGGGCTGGGGGCGGTCAGACGCAGCAGCGGGTCCGCGCTCCCGGGGGGGGCCCAGACCGGAGTTGCCCCAGACCGCAGCTATCCCGGATGATTCACGCGTGCAGGGGGTGGCGCGGGGGTGTGGCAGCGCGACGACGGAGAGGCTGTCTGAGAAGGCCAGCGACTACCTGGAAGCCCTCCCTGCTTCTGGGGCGGCGACTTCTGAGAAGCATCACGACGCATCCAAGAGGGCCCCCAGCGCCCCCCTCGCGCCACCCTCGTTGTGCGCGCCGCCAATTTCGGCGCGACGTCCTGTCCTGGCGGGCCTCCTGCGGCTGCCTCAGCGAGCTGCGCGCCTCAAAGATCTCCTCCAGCGCACCAAGAACCTCTCGGCGGGGCCCCAGGAGGGGCTCATCATCCTCTCTCGGAAAGACTTCACGCAAAGTAGGGCGCCGAAGGATCTCGCGACAAGCCCGAAAGCAGCCATAGGCCCAAGGCAGAGGCCGAAAGAGAAGGGCAGAGAAGAAGGAAACGGGTCCAGCAACAACTATGCCACCAGCCCACTGGGCGTAGGTGGCTCAGGGAATTGACAATTACACATCCCTTCTTATCCTTCGGGAATGGGTTTACTGTATCATTGACCCTGATCAATAGTGAGCCCCTCCCCCACTTGACCGGTGGCCGGCCAGGAACCATGACCCCCCCCCACCCACCCGTGCATAAAAGTCTCGTCAAAAATAAATTCCAACGCTGTTCAAAATCGAAGCGCTCGATGGTTCAGTCACTTGTCAGAAAACGCGTTCTGCAATGTTGTGAGGGCACTGCCGGATGTCGGACGCCCCTGCGTCTGGGCCGCATAGCTACCTCACCCAGCATTGAAGTAGCGCCCACCACGTGAGCACCGAACACAAAAGCCGCCAAGGTATTGTTTGACGAGCCTTGCAACAACATCAAAACAAATGTGTACTCAAGCTGGGACAAGAGCTTGGACCATGCGCGAGGGGGGGGAGCGATCACGTTTGAAGGGGCCCTGGGACACATACATAAATAGACACACATAACAGGATTCCTCATATTTCCCCATACTTCCTGGATTTGCGTCTTCTCCCCCACTGCCCATAGTTTCCCATATTTTCTGTGGAATCGACGATTGATTGTGTCTTGTTGTGTGATTTGTTTCCCCCCGGACGTTACGCTGTTTCTGGCAGGGACGGCGGGGGTGCCAGGATCTTGCCCGATGCGCGCAGGCCCAAGGCCCCCGTCGAAAAGCGATGCTCACCGCACCCTGCCACAGCATCCTGGACCACGGGCGGGGGCCCAGCGACTGCTCTGCCCTGTGCTGGCCAGGGGAGGCGGGTTGTCTTACAGCAGTGATGAGGCAAATCCAAATCGTGTTGATAAGTATGACGCTGATAGGTAGAACAGTCACACTACGAAGCATCACAACCTTACGAATAGTAATCACACGCACGACGCCGACAAACGTGCGGGGAATGGACGCCCGAGCGACGGCGAGGCGGCTGTCTCGGGCCGCCGCCCGCTCGCGCCGCGCCCGCTCGCCACCTGCCGACGCACGATGTCATCGGAAGGGGCCCCCCCTGCCAAAAAACACATGCAGTGTGACCGTGGGTGCACACGCCACGCACAATGCTGACCAACCCGCCGCCACTTCCCAGCGCTTCTTCTTGGAGGAGGAGGAGGAGGAGGAGGAGGAGGATGAGGAGGGCCTAAAATCAGGTCGTCCCGACGCGTGCGGTCCCGGGTGCTGGCGCCCCTGGCACACCCTGCCGTGCGCCGCGCACGCGGAGCACCTCGCGCGGGTGGAACAAGCGAGCCCGAGGTGCCAAGGGAACCTCCCCAAGGACGCCCCCCTGAGATGTCAACTGAAGGGGAACTGGGACACACACATCAATACACACAAATAGAAATATCCCCCTTATTTTCCCACATTTTCTGGGCTTTTGTCTTCCCCCCCACGTCCCATATGTTCCCATATGTTCTGGGAATCGCCGATGAATTGTGTCTGTGTGTTTTTTCCCCTCCTGATCAACATCACCCTCGAACCTGAGAGACACCAATGTTTTGTGGCTTCTCGCCTCGTTCGCTTCCCATTGGCTGGTGAGGCCTCAACGTGGCTCCGAACTCGCCCAGGAGAGCCTTTCTTACGAGGGCCCCAAAACGGGCCCACGTGTGCCCGAGAGCGCCCTAAGAGCGCCCCACGAGGGCGCCAAGATGCGACGTTTCGACCTTCGACAGATGGGTTGTAATTTGCCCCCCACTTTTTATGATAAATGACCTCCAAAATTGAGCTAAATTCCTCAAGGAATTGGCTGGGTATGCCAGGCGAAACCTTGGCATACCCACCAAACTCCTTCAGGAAGACGAGGGCGATGCCCGAAGTGCAACACACTGCTTGAGGAAATCACGAGGAGCTGGAGCCATGAACGCGGCGACCCGAGAGCGAGACCGAAGGCCGACATCCAGGCGTTGCGAGAGGCTCACGACAGGTGCTTCGCCGAGCAACACAACTGCCTGGGGCCAGCGGCGCGACGCGATCTAGCCATCGACTCTGCCCTCGGTCTCGCCTGGTCTCGCCCTGCTTTCGCCTGGGCTCGCCCTGGCTTCGGCCGGTGTCGCCCTTTGGTTTCGCTCGGCTCCGCTCAGCTTTGCCTGGCGCGTGAAAGCGAGGCCATCGCTATGGCTGGGCCGTGGGGGAAGCCAGGTAGATGCCGAATTTGAGCGACAGGTGCTTATGCCTCGTCTCGGGCCAAGTGGACTCTCGCGGGAGGGCGGGGCTCGAGAAAAAAAACGCACCGACATCAGGTCGGGAGCTCCGGTCGTGATTTTGTTGCGGACTCGTGCTCTTTCGGGGCGTCGTTGAATACGTGGAGGTTGGTCAAGGCCTCAAAGGCCGCATGACTGCGCAAGTAGACGCATGCTTACAAAGTAAGCGCGCTCGTGGAAGACACCACCCCCTCCTCCACCACTTAGGATGCACTGAACCTCGCCGTCGACCCGATTCCTCTCGAGCGAGAGCGTCTCCAGAAACTCGTTGGCCTGCAGCGCCTTGGCCAGTTGCCCCACTCCAGCGTTCCCGATGTCGTTGCCGCTGAGGTCAAGCTCCTGCAGGTGGCGGTTTGCGGGCAGGCCAACAGCCAACCCCGCCGCACCCGCATCGCCGATGCGATTGTCCTGCAGGCACAGCGTGGCGAGCTTCCTGTTCTTGAGCAGTGCCTCGCCCAGGGCGCCCGCGCCTGGGTTGCCCAGGCCGTTACCGCTCAGCTCCTGAGAGGCAACGACAGGGGGGGGCCAGCCCAGGGGGGAAGCCTCGACCTGGAATCGGCGATACCTCGCCGATGCATCGGCGATAGGGCCCCCGGTGGCGAACCCGCACAGTCCAGGGCGGGGCGGGCTATCGGGCCCCTGTCGGCGATTCATGGGCGATTGCGGGTCGATGCATCCCCCCCCCCTGAGCCTACAAACCCGCAGCGTTGCCCCTTGGTTTTCGGGTCATAACCGGGCTCCCCGGCGGACGTTCGGGACAGGTCCGACATCCCCGGAACGCTCTCGACGGGGCACAGATGATGGAGATCGCCCCGGGCCCCGGAAAGTGTCGAAAACAATGGAAACTATCGAAATCTCCCCCCCAACTAACGATGTCCCCGATGGAATTCTCGCCCTATGTACCCTGAGCCTAGCCCCACTTGAGCCTGTCCCCCTCTTAGCGTGGCCCCTGAGCTCCAGCTCCGTCAGCCCCCGGTTGCTCTCGAGGGCCTCCGCGAGCGCTGCGGCGCCCTCGTCGCCGACGCGGTTGTCGCGGAGGCTCAGCATCGCGGGCGCCCGGGCCCCGGCGAGTGCCCTCGCAAGGTGGCGGCAGCCGGTGGGGCCCAAGCCGTTGCGGCCAATACATAGCTCCTTCAACGCCCGGGCCCGCGGCAGCGCCGTGGCCAGCGCCTCATGACCAACATCGAGCTCATCCCTATCCCTAAGATTGGCAAGCCCACGGTGACCGCAATCAGGCATGAGCCCTCAGAGAAACTCGGGGAATCCTGCAGATCAGCACCGAGATGCGGTGATGGCAACCATAGGGATGGGGATATGCTTCAGGCTGGTAACCTCGGCCCCCTGGTCCCCCAGGCCGCAGCGCGTGAGGTCGAGGTCCTCGATTGGGAAGGCTTCGGGTTGCGCACAAGCAGCCCTCCCAGGTGGTCCCGGCTCTGGACTGGCCTCAGGTCGAGCGTGTCCTCTTACAGGGGGATTCTGGACGACTAATAAAACATACTTGCAAAATACCCCCAAATGGCAAAAACATAATCAACAAATCGTCCCCATAATATTTTTTCACTATTTTTGAATATTCCCCCTGTAGGGGGACACGCCCGACCTTAGCCTTGCCTCAGCAGACCCCCCGAGTAGTCCGGGGCGGTCTCGACACGCGGAGCGTCCCCGGGGCGCCGCCGGAGGCGGCAGCAGGGCGCTGAGACCGTCCCTGACTACTCGGTCGGGTGTTGCTAGAAGTGCCCCTGGCCCAAGCTGCCCCCAGCTTGTCGCGCCATCGTGGAGCCCCTGGGGTCCTCTGGGCCTCGTGATAAGGGGTGCTCTGGAGGCCAGCTGGGCCACCCCGAGCATCCTGGGGGCACCTGGTAGTTACCCGGGGGGCCTGTCGAGGCCCAGCGGGACTACCTGTGGGAGCCGCCTCTGCGCAGAGCCCCCGAAAGCCGTACCGTCCTCGATGCTGCTGTGCGGGTGGAGGTTCTGTGCCACCTGACCGGCGCCAGCACCCCCCCCCATATGGGCTCCCCTGCGCTGGCCCCCTCTCCAGGGGGGGAGGGGGAGGAGGAGGAGGAGGAGGAGGAGGAGGAGGAGGAGGAGGAGGAGGAGGAGGAGGAGGAGGAGGAGGAGGAGGAGGAGGAGGAGGCGGAGGAGGAGGAGGAGGAGGAGGAGGAGGAGGAGTGCTTCCACTGCCCTAATCACACACACTTGGCGGAGGTCCGCGCGTGCCTCTGGCACCGGCGCCGGGCCCCCCTCGCGGCCGCCTCCCGCGACACCCCCTGGCGCACTCCGTGCGCCAGAGAGGGGTTCCAGCGCCGATCCGGGACATCCGGGCGGACCTCCGAAGGAGCACCTTCACTCTTTGAAAACAGCCTGTCTGTAAGGTCTCGATACTATTCTCCCACCGCCCGGTGAGGGACGCGGGCGCCCCTAGACCAAGAGCCCAGGCTCCCCCCCGTTGTACCCCCCTCCAGGCCACTTTTTAAACCTGTCTCGGGTGCTGCTGCCGCAGGGGAGTCATCATACGCTTTCTCCTTCGGCGACAAGCCCTCTCGTCAAGCGCGCCCGCGGTCTAAACCAACTGAGCACTGAGATGCTGAGGGGGAAGCGCTGAGACGGTCCTAATTAGGGCCTGGAAGCGGCCCCGGGAGGCCAGGGTGCAGGAAAACGCCGCGGTTGGGTCGCATCGTCGGAGGTCTGGGCTCGTCGCGCCCGAGAGCCCCTCTGCACAGGGGCGCCCCGCACCGAGACTGCTGCTCCCTGGACCTGTCCCGAGGGGCGTTCGGGCGAGAACTCCGTCGCGAAGCCAGCCGTGGCGACGAGGATCTCCCAGGAGGCCCCCCAGGAAAGCGGAAAAGAGGCAAGGGTCGCGGTATCGGTACCTTCTCCTCTGGCCACTCTCTCTGGAGCGCCCTCAAACCGTGAGTGGCCCAACCAGGGCCAGTGCAGACCCGGCTCAGCCAGCTTCACAAACATGCGCTGCAATGTGTTGGGGGCCTCCCGAGCCCGGCCCCAAGCATGTGCAAAGTCTGCCTGCAAGGCCGCGAGCGGCTCCCAAGGCCGGCTTGGCCAGATGCCGCCTCTGCAGGATCCTGCGGGATCCGGCGTTCTGGCCGAGCCCCGTTTGTGCTGAACCCCGCTACGCCAGACGCCTCCATGACGGGGTCAGAGCAGACGGGGCACGAAGGTCGCGCCGCATCGCCGATGCACCACCGAGGCCTCGGCGACGTCGCAGATGCCTCGGCGACGTCGGCGCAGAGAAAAACGGGCTCCACATCGAGCCGCATCGGCGACGCATCGGCGACGCGGCACAATCCTCCGACCCCATCGTCTCCGACCCCATCTGGGAGACTTCTACTACATGCGCCCCGACCGAACTCTGCGGCGAGCGAGGGGGGGAAGCGAGAAGGAGAAGCTCAGAAGGCTCGGAAGTCCCCGGGCCTTCTGAGAAGTCTTCCCAAGCCCTCTCCGAAGACACGGAACACCTCTCCGCAGGCCAGAGGGCCTGTGAGAAGTCCCGCCGCCTTCGGAGAGGGCTCTCTGCTCTTCACTTCCCCCCCTCGCTCGCCGCGGACTTGCTATTACTTGCGGAAGTCAAAAAGGTACCGATACCGCCACTCCCCCGGACCTCTCCCGGGGTGCGTTCTGACCAGAATCTCGAGGCGAAGCCAGCCGTGGCGACGAGGGCCTCCGAGGAGGCCCCCCACAGAGGGGAAAAAACGGGCGGGGGGTAGCGGTATGGGTACCTTGTCCTCCTCTGAAGTGCTCCTGCTCTTGCCCGAGGAGGAGGAGGAGAAGGAGGAGGAGGAGGAGGCGGAGGAGGCGGAGGAGGAGGAGGAGGAGGAGGACCTTGACGGCGCCCCCGGCGCCGATGCCCTCGTTGCCGAAGAGGCTCAGCCTCGCGGCGCCGCGGCCCGCGGCGAGCGCGGCGGCGAGGAGGCCCGCGGCCTCGGGGCCGAGGCCGCAGCGCCCGAGGTCCAGGTCCCGCAGCGCGGAGGGCGCCCCCAGCGCGCCTGGGAGGCCTTTTCCTTCTCCTCCACCTCCTCCTCCTCCTCCCCTTCCCCCTCCTCCTCCCCCTCCCCCTCCTCCTCCCTCTCTTCGTCCCCCTCCTGTCCCCCTTTCCCCTCCCCCTTCCCCTCCCCCTCCGCCTCCTCCTCCTCCTCCTTCTCCTCCTTCTCCTCCTTCTTCCCTGTGGCCACGAACAAAACCCGTCCCCAGCCCAAAAAGCGCGGATTCACCAAGGATTCGAAGATCGGCCACAGATTTCGGGGTACATGTTGCATTCGTCGTCGTCGCCCTGGTAGAACCCCACCCCAAAGTCTCCCTCCCCGAGGTCTCGAGGAGCCTGCACTTTGTCTTGGCCCTCGCGTTTTTGGGGTTGGGCATCTGTTTTGACTTAGTGAAGCTGTGGCAAGACGAGGCCAGGACGAGGATACCACTAGAGGAGAACGAACTATGCACGTACACCTATGCTGGCCAGGCCCATCCTGAGCCCAGGATCGGTGCATGCGCCCTCCTACCTTGGCCAGGAAGGCATATGCACCGATCCTTGGTCAAGGATGGGCCTTGCCAGGATCGGTGCATGTTAACAGTTCTCTTCGCCCGAACCACCCGGGTGAGGACTAATTCTGGCGTGTCCCCCTGCAGGGGGGCTTTCGCCGAAAAATAAAGAATACCTCAAACATACTCCCCGAACGCTCAAAAGTAGTACAAAAATAGTCCCCAGACTAGTTTTGGACTAGTTGTGACCGAGGGCATGGAATGGGACACGAAGGAGATACTAGTGCTATGCGCCCCCCTTCGAGGCGCACGTCCGGACCGAACATGTAGCACAAGCATATCAAGCGGCACGCCGCAATTGCGGATAAGAGTGATGGGGTGGACGCGGAGTGGGTCGCGGGTGGGTCGCGGGGAAGTCGTGGATGGGTCGCGGGGTGAGTCGGGGGGGATGGTCGCGGATGGGTCGCGTGTGGGCCTCTAGGAGGACATCAGCAAACAAGCGAGCAGAATCTGGGCCAGGGAACCCCACTCCACCCACGCACCCAGTTCGGACCCTCACTCTGATATCGTTCCCCCCGCTACCCAGGCAGGATGGCCAGAAAGCACCCACCACCGATGACTATAAAAGGATTCTGCGCGCGCGCGGGCGTCGCCCCTGGGGGGCCAGACGCACCCACAACACAAGAACGTCTGGCCACCCGCCCGTCTTTTCGGCGCGTGGGCGCCGCGCTCCAGCCATGGGGCCGCCGCGGATGCCTCCGGGACCATGTGCTGGCCCGAGATGGGCCCCGCACTTGGATGGATGGGCACGGGGGCCGATTCTGAGCTGAGGGGTGTCGGACATCGGGAGGCCGTGGGAACGAGAAAGGCCTACCGAGCCAGCTCATGTTGGGCTCCTGGGCCGATTGAAGACAGGAGCTGCGACCACCCAACATGCCTCGGCGGTGGAAAAACATCCCTTTAGTAAACCACCCTTCAATGAAAAAGCCTACGACCGAAACCGACGGACCTGGACCCGCAAAAATGACGGCCGCGACGCCCCCTCGCGAACCGAAAACGTGTCAGGGTAGGAGTTCTATAAACCTCAGAATGCCCATGCTCTCGCGTTCTGGAAGCCGATGCGTGCTGGAGAGGCCAGGATCGAATCGGTGGAACTCGGCAGCCAAGTCGGGGAGAAACCGAAACGGCGGACATCGGCAAGCCAGCAAAGCCTCCACCGAGGCACCGAAGCCCAGATCGGAATCCGAGGTCGAACCGACGCGGCATCCGAACCGATGGACCTCGAATCGGACTCGAGTCGGAGGGGTGTCCCGTGCAGGCGGATTACACAAAATAAAGAATACCCCAAACATATATATATATATATATATATATATATATCTCTCTCTCACACCAAATGTCCAGAGTTCCAAACTTCAGGTATTGAAATGAATACTCTGAGAACCTAGACGGTGCTCGCCAGTTTGGCGTCTCGTGTTGGCACCGCGCAGCTCGTGAATGTGAGCAGTGCGGCACAGAAGCGGCGCACACACAAACCAGCTCACCGAGGGGGGCGTCCCCGACCCCGAGCTTTCCCCTGGGGCCCTCGGCTTCGCCCCCGTCCCCGAGCGGTGAGAAGGGTGGTGCGCGCGTCAAGGGGAGGGCGAGTGGGGCGAGGGGGCATGGAGGCAGCAGCAGAAGGACTGCGAGCGGGCGGAGGACGGGGGGGAGGTCGTCGCTGGGGGGGTGGGAGTCCTACCCCCCAAGCTCCAGAGACTGGATATTCCCTCTCGAGCCGGTCTCGAGCAGGTGGTGAGGAGCGGGTGCGGGAGGCGAAAGCTTCAGAAGTCGAAGTAGTTGCACTCGGTGCCGTGCAGGGTGGTGTACATGGCGGCGCCGAGCTGCTCGAGCCACTGCTTGCACCAGCTCGAGATTTCCCACATGAAATGACCGAAGTCGTGAAGGTGGTAGCACTCGGTGCAGATGGAGGTGGTGTGCGTAGCTGCTGCACTACCTGGCTCTGAGCTGGAGTGGCTTTCAGCATCCTCATCGACCGTCCATCTATCTCCACGTCGAGGTCGGTAGTACTCACACATCGTTGGCCAGCGCATCCATGTAGAGGGCCAGCTCGTCCTCCACGAAGCCCGCGGGGGCAGGGCCCAGGCAGGCCGGCTTGCTGGCGTTGTGAAGGGCAGTCATGATCTTCTGGCGTACTGAGATGTCGCGGCAGTGGTACATGATCTTCGCGGTGCCGCTCTTGTACGCCTTCTCGACCTTGCATATCGGGAACATGTCCTGGGCCTCGTACGCGTCGAGCTCGTTGATCGCCTGGATCGCCGCCGTTAACTCTTCCTTGCTCTTGGCTCCAATGTCCTGCTTCACCAAGGATTCCATCATGGCCATCGCTGCGCCTGGGGCTGGGGGGCCCTTTCCGTGATTTTCTCCTTCTTGGCGGATCATCTTGGCGTAGCTGCGGTTCTCCGTCTCGATCGCCTCCACCAGGGGGTCGGTGTCGTCCACTTTCACTGTCGTGATGATGCATCCCTTGAGCTCGCGCACCTGCCTGGTGTTCTGGTACGTCGCCCTCAGGATGACGAGAAGCAAGTCCTTCATTTCCTGGCTCATCTTGGGCGCCGTCTTTTCCTTGAACGCGGCACCCCGTCGACGCCGAACTCGGTTGAGGGTTGCTTTCTTGGGGTCGAACTTCGAGCTCTCGTCCTCCATCGATTCTCCGTCCTGGCCTTTGCGCTGCTCGCGCGTCTGGCTCCTGGAGCGCTCGGGTCGCTCGGGTCTGCCTCGACTGCCACCAGCTCCAGACGCTACTGAGGACGCCTGGGGGGCACGCCATCCCGCCCTCTCGGGTGTTGGGTTCACGCCCGACGGAGGCATCCTGGGCGTCGGTCGGTGCTGGAATAGGCGCTGGTGTAGGTGCTGGCGGTGGGATCGATAGCGTGTGAGCACCCAGTACGTCTTGAGGTAGATGGCTACGGAGATGTGCGCGCATCATGCTGTACTCTTCGAAGGACTCGTAGCATATAGGGCATGTAAGTGACTTTGGCGATGTGATAGGATATGGGGCCCAAGTCTGATCCGTGCGGCATGTATGTGACCTCCAGGCGGCTGTGATGTGATGTTGTGCACCCACGCGCGTAGGGAATGTCGTACCACATATGATGCACTCGTTCGTGATCGTGAGCTGTGATAACATGCAGCACATGCCGTGTTCCCCTCCTGGTGCGAGTCCCCGCTGGTGTGCATATAGTGCGCGTGCGCTCTTCCACGTAGACATGCATGTGGTGCCCTCGGACGTTTTCAGCGTACAGACGAACAGTTCGGCCTCGTCTGACGGGGCCACTTCCGACGGGAGCTCTGGCAGAGCCCCTGGTGGCGCAAGTGCGCGCCGAAGGTAGGCAGCCCTCATCATGCCCACGTCCACGCCGCAGAAGGCCTCCGCGACCTCTGGGTCCGTGAAAAGCTCCACGATGTTGCCGCGCCAGTCCAGGTATTCTAGCGGCTCGGCGACGTCCAAGACCAGCATGTCCTGGATGTCCGTGGAAAACTGCCTGGCGATGAGGTGTGCGTCGGGGCTGATGTAGCCGTCGTCATCGAGTGTGCGTGCCGCCACAGGAAGCTCGAGTTCTCGAAGGTAGTGCTCGATCTGGAGCTCGCCGAACAGGACAGAGATCATCTGCTTGGAGTCGTCTGGATGAGCGGCAGCACCCTGGAGAAGTTTAAGACGGCGTACTTTGAGTTCAATCGAACTGGGTTATATATATACACACAAAACATGCCCAATCCATAATTTCGACAAATCGTCCCCAGACTTTTTTTTGCGTCAATGTATGAAGATTCCTCCTGTAGAGGGACGTGCCCGACTTAAAACCAGGAGCCCCCAGCGTGGCCCCACGGACGCGCGCTCCCGTGGCGGTGCTCCGCGCGCGGGGCACCCCGCCGCTGCCAAGGGCACTCTGCCCGGCGCTTCCTCTGAAGGATCGCGGGGGAAACGTATCCGCGTCCGCGGCCTCGCGGGCCGGGCCCCTGGGCTGGGGCGCACAGCCGACATACTGGTGCTATGTGTCCTCCCTGGAGGCGCGCGCCCGACCCGAACACAAAGTATACCCATCTTGCAGCGCATCGCTTCCCGAGCGGCGTGGCCAGACAGCGCCCGCCCGCCCCCCGGCGATGCATCGCCGCTCGGTCGGCGACACGGGCCCCCGGTCGCGAGCCCGCACGGTCCCTGGGCGTGGTGGGCCCGTTGTCGGGCCCCCCGTCGGCGATGCTTGGGCCTGCCTTTCGGCTCCTGCCTCGGCGATGCTTGGGCCCACGCCGTCCACCTCCCTCCTCCTCCTCCTCCTTCTCCTCCTCCTCCTCCTCCTCCTCCTCCTTCTCCTCCTCCTCCTCCTCCTCCTCCTCCTTCTCCTCCTCCTCCTCCTCCTCCTCCTCCTCCTCCTCCTCCTCCTCCTCCTCCTCCTCCTCCTCCTCCTCCTCCTCCTCCTCCTCTCCTCTCCTCCTCCTCCTCCCTCCCCTCCTCCTCCTCCCTCCTCCTCCTCCTCCCTCCTCCTCCTCCCTCTCCACCCTCCCCCTGAGCATGCCCCCCGGACGTCGCCCCCTGGCTTTCGGGTCCTGCCTCGGCTCCCCGGCGGCCCTCGGGGACGATCCCGGCACCCCGGGAGCGCCCTCGGCGGGGCGCCGCGGACGGGCCCCCCCCCGGGGCCCCGAGAAGCACCGAGAACCGAAGAGAAGTGCCGTCCCGTCCAACCCTGAGCCTCTCACCCCCGGAGCAGACTTGTCACCGCAGAACGTTGTCCCCCCTGAGCCCATGCCCCCCTCACTTTGGCCCCCGCTCTGAGCCCATCTGGAGGGAAAGAAAGCGGGGACCGTGACAAGGACCGAACGCGGAGACGTTGTGTCGATCTTGGTAACCGTCGATGTCGGTAAGCGTGATTTCATGGGCCTTCCTCACAAACTGGCGACCGCAGAAATGGACCATGACCGAGATCGGCATCCGCAAACTCCCGCGACGTCTTGGTCATGGCCCCCATGCTCTATGAGTACCTTTTAACCGATCCCCATCCCCAGCGGCGTGGCCTGGGCCCCACTGGCCGATTTACCCCCCCAGATAGGAGATATAGGTCGTTCCCCTCGGGTTTCGAGAGGTGTATCCCCAACTGGGGGGTAATTTGGTAGGGGTCTCGAAGGGGATGGGGATGGGGATTGTCGGCGGTGGACAGACCTCCCTTTAGCAAACCACCCTTTAATGAAAACGGCCTAGGACCGAAACCGACGGACCTGGGCCCGCAAAAATGACGGCCGCGACGCCCTCTCGCGAACCGACAACGGCCAGTTCGCTATTCGACGTGTCAGGGTAGGAGGTCTGTCCACCCCTGAGATTGGTCAAACGATACAGAAAAAAACCCTAGCGCTGCCCCCGAGGTGCTTCCCGCCCGCGAGCGCCCGCGAGCGCGGTGGCGCCCGCGTCGCCCAGCGCGTTGTCGCGCAGCCGGAGCGTCTTCAGGGTCCGGCAGCGGAGGCGCGCAGAGGGCGGCACTGGGCTCGTCGTCGTCGTCGTCGTCATCGTCGTCGTCGTCGGCGTCGTCAGCGTCGGCGTCGTCGTCGTCGTCGTCGTCGTCGGCGTCGTCGGCGTCGTCGGCGTCGTCGGCGTCGTCGGCGCCCCCGTGCGCGTCGCAACACGGGAGGCGACGGAGGCGGGGGAGGAGGAGGCGGCGCTGGGCTCGTCGACGGCGCCGTCGACGCCGCCGCTGCCATGGGCGCTCTGCCCGCGCTTCCTC